TTATCAACAGCGCTGTCTCAAGATCCAAAGCGGGGATCAATTCACTCATAGCCAGAGAACATGCTGTTATTGCCCTTAATTTATTTCTTTACGACACTGAATCATAACCTAAGTAAGTGGAACGTATTAAACAACTCTCTAAGCGCCCCCCCCCCAAAATTAACAGTTAAAACTTAAAATCAGGCAGTGGCAGCAGGAGGCGTGTCAAAAGAGTCAAAATGGCAGCCATCTCCATGTCCTTTCTCCGTCCAACCAGGCTGGATGGCAATTGCAGGAATAAAACTGGGGGCCCAAATGTTGCAGCCGGGGAGTTTCTGCAGGAAAAGCAGGACGCCGCCTGGATGACTAAAGAAGAAGCGACACGGCCCCTGCTTGGCACACGGGGCAAAGGCACCTGGCAGAGCTTTATCTAACCTGGTTAAGCCTATGGTGCAAATGCACACTCACCATTCCTTCCACCTACCAGACATCGGCTCATCCTCTTTTCCCACTTACCAACTTGTTGCTCCTGCAAATCAATTCCAGTTTATTCTCCGGGGCTGGAAGAGCTCCACTCTTATAGTTGGGCACACCCCACCTCCTCCCATGTCCCCTCCCATCAATCTCCTACGCAAGGTAAGATACGGAGGCTGGGAGGACCAGGTTGGGGTGGGACCTCCAGGAGATGCCATTAGCCTTAGCTTATATTTTAGGAATGCAGATCTGCGTCTGGGTGGGCTACAACGTCCTTCCTCCCCTCCGAAGGGGCGTGTTTTGAATCAGGATGTTGATGAGAGTTAATTTTCACTCATCGGTAAAACAACACGGACAACAGCAAGGTCATGAGAACCAATCTCGTAGAAAGATGGTCCTCAAATATAGAAGGGACTGTGGCTCCTTTAATTGTTAGAATGATCCATTACAGCTTCATCTACCCAAATCTGTCTCTTAACCATGTCTGTGCAACACACTAAGCCAGGGCTTGCTTAATCATGATGACTAAGCCAGGATTTATCACCATTGGCCACAGGCT